ACAATTTTAGGTCAAACTGAACTGTCCTCGCATATTGCCATCTATCAAATTCCATCCATCAACCAAAATCTTCGACAAACTTTGAACATCTTCATAAGAAATCCGCTGATTCAAATTAAAAAGCATCTTATATTTGACTCCTTTCACTCACTCTGAAGTACAATTGCTGCTTATCTGCAAGCAAATGTCTCCACAGCTTTCCAACAACAATCATGGCCGTTGATCTGGAAGCGAGGTTTCTATCTGCTCACTTTCCAAGGTTCTCTCCCTCAACTGGCTACCGAACATAGTTCGCATCTACCTTCACCACGTTCGCAAAAAAATTTCCCATATACATTTCCTATTGGTTTTCAGATGGCTAAATAACATAGCTGGACTGACATTCGCACAAATTTTTGGCATACATTTTTCAGTACTACTTCGTTTGCGCACGCATGCCTAATAAATTATAATTCCATTCGACATTCGCATCAAACCTTATTGGTGATCTGTGAATTTATGCGTAAAAAGGGGAGCCCTCTTTCGAATATATCATCTCTAAATCACGAAAACGAGGGAATAAAACCTAAAAAGTAAACAACAAGGTGACATCATAGCAACTAGAGCAGGAAACAAAACTTTTTTTTCTTGTATTCTATGGACCTTTTTTTATTATCTGGCAATTTCTAGTACAATATTCACAATGCTAAAAGATATTAACAGACAATTACAAAAAGACATGTGGAAATCTGACATTTGCCAGTGCGAATGTTGCGAATGTCTGGATCCGCCCCTGCCTGCGGCAGTTGTCGTTGGTCGTCATACCTGCAGGTCCTAACGGGAAGATTGTCCCACGAGCAACGCTGAACAACTCACCCTTCACTTGTTGCTCTTTTCCAATTTCCTCTAAATCCTCTTCCAAAGTTCACAGCTCAACTTGTGGGACTTGATCTTAGCCAAAAGGCCGAGAAGCGATACCCAGTCTCATGTCTTCAGTTCAGACTCTCCACAAGTCTGCCTCTTTGCTTACGAAGCGCTCAGTTTTTTTGCCTGTTGCCTGCCTGCCTGCTCCTTCACTCCAGCAGCACAGTAATCAATCTGTGGATGTTGAAGAACGTCGTCGAGGTGAGTGAGTTAGTGAATGAGTTATTGGGCTTCACGTGGCCACTCAGCAGCATGCAGCAGCAGTTGTGAGCTGCAACAGCAGGGAAAGGTGCTTTCTTCAAAAAAGTATGGCTTGAGTTCTAAAGTGCGCTGTTGCTCCGTGTTGTTGTGCTTACTCTTATTATCTATTCATGAACGAGCCTCCCCGTGACCCAAGAGGCAAAAAGACCACTGGACTTTCATTGGGAAGAAAATTAAATTTAACTTTCAGCTTCTCTTGACTCACAGAAGATGAGAGGATGGAAGATGTTCTATGACTGCATTCTGTCACTGACTGATGAAATGATTCTAAGAAAGCCGAAACCTTGCATATAGACACTTGTTCATTACTCGAGTGGCAAACCCAGAGAGTTTATAATTGAAGGAAAGGTTCACCATAGTTGGTCGAACGAAAAGAGATCAGTGATGGTTTTTTGAAATCCTTGAATCAAAATGCTTTTGTGATTGTTTTTTCTTACAAGTCACTTTGGTATCCATTGAAGGCACTTTGACAATTGGCCTGTGATGTAATTATTGGGAATTAAACAATGCCTGAAAGCCCAGCTTATTGAAGCTTACGTCCCAAAAATCAATATTTTGAATTTTATGTTGCAAAAATTGCAAAAATATTCAAGATTTTGTCCGAAATTAAGTGAAATAATCTTCAGAATGGGTATTTGTGGGGGGGGGGGATAACCCTTCAAGTGCAGGTAGCTAATCCCCAGTAAAGGTCAGCTTGGCTGCAAGTTAGACTTCTCGACATGGATATCAAACCGCCTAAGCAACCAAAAAGCATCTTGCCACTCCAACAATTAGAACCAACCATGAAACCATGTAAGGGAAATAAAAAACAAAACTCTGTTTTGCAATCATCCCTACAAATGGCTATTAGAACGAATGGCTTCTAAAAAAAGTATTTGATTTGGAATTGTGAATAAATAGGCCATGCAGATTTCCACAGGCCCAAGAATCTTCTTTCAATAATACAGTAATCCTTGCCTCAATAGACCCCTTTCACAATTATGTCACGCAGTATTTGAATGAGAGACGAACGCTTGGAATCGAGGCAACTGATGTAATTTCGTCTGATCTCCTTTCATACGGTGCGGTGCAACAAGGATTAACAATCGTAGCTTATCTTTTTTATAGAATTACGTTAAAATTTTATTGTTAAAATGAGCAGCGAAGACATATTAGATATAGGTCAAGATATATCCAAGAAGAAAAAACGATCTTTTGGACGTCAATGCGCCGCTTATGGATGCTATAGCTACTTTTATAACTCCGATGGATCTCGAACTGGCCTACATTTCTTTGCTTTTCCTAAGTCAAATCCTGAAAAGCGTCGCTGGTGCTCTTTGATAAAAAGGATTGACGGCATGGATGGTTTTAAGGTCAGCAGCTCGACCTTTTTGTGTGAAAAGCATTTTACGTCAGCTGATATAAAGCGAAACCCGAACCATTGGCGACTTGTTCCTGGTGCTGTACCCTCCTTGAATCTTGTGGCTGGTACTGTCCCTTCAACAGGAGGCAAACGCAAAGCACGAAAACCTCCATCAGCTCGTTTTGAAATATTCCCCAGCTCATCTCAGGATACATCTTCACAGTTTTCAAGCTTTGGTGGTGAAATTGATGCTGAACTTGGCTCTCCGTTTGAAGAAGATCTTTCTACATCAACTGTATCAATATCAACACAAACTGATTTCTCTTTTGTAAATTCCCCAACATACCTTCCAATTGATTTTGAAAAGATGGAAAATGATATAATGGATTCATTCATCAAAAGTGACACTCTGCAATCTCAAATTCAAGAGCTCTCTGCCAAAGTAATTAAATTAGAAAATCAAGTGGAACAGCTAGAGTTGAAGCTTGCTCAAGTTAAACTGTCTCTTCTTTCTATTGAAAAGTTAAAGTCTGATAGTTCTGCAACAAAGTTTTACACTGGTTTTCCAAACTTTCCTACACTGATGTCAACATTTGAATACTTTGAGCCTAAAGTCCTGCAAATGCAATATTGGCGTGGTAACAAGTCTTCACAAAGCTCTGATGATTATCACACCAAGTCTTCACGTGGCCCAAAGCGCTTTCTCACTCATCTGGAAGAATTCATTCTTGTTCTAATGAGACTGAAAGTTGGTTTGTTTATTGATGATTTAGCTGGTCGTTTTGGAATTTCTTCCAGTCAGGTTTCGAAAATCTTTACAACATGGATTTGTTTTCTTTACCACGAACTCCCACTGCTTTTCAAACCCCCTTCTCAAGAGGTTGTTCGTCAAGCCATGCCTGCTCAATTTAAAGATTTTCCAACAACGAGATTAATCATTGATTGCACAGAAATATTTGCAGAGGTTCCATCATCTATGAAAGCACAGTCCCAGACATGGTCCGAATACAAGCACCATAATACATGGAAAGTCTTAATTGGCATATCACCCTCTGGCTTAATTACCTTTGTCTCAAAGTTATGGTCTGGTAAGGTTTCTGATAAAGAAATCACTCTTAAGTCAGGTGTTCTAGCCCTTCTTGAGGATGGTGATAACCTTATGGCTGACCGTGGCTTTGATGTAAAAGATATTCTTCCTCCTGGAGTGACTCTAAACATTCCACCTTTCAAGGGTACACGAGCACAACTGACAGCGAATGAGACAGAAGAAACTGCTCGCATTGCTTCTGTACGCATTCATGTGGAGCGTGCCATTGGAAGGGTAAAAAATTACCACATCCTTGATGGTGTTCTACCATTATCATTACATTCAACAGCTAATCAGATTTTCACTGTTTGTTGTTTACTTACAAACTTTTTGCCAATTTAGTTGAACCTAATGATAATAAATAAATTACTTCTATATATATATATATATATATATATTTATAAACTTTCTTTACATCTATCTATGTTTGTTTTAGCCATGTTACATCTGCTCTATATGTACAGTATACAATAATATTATGTTAAGATTAAACACATACCAATTCTTTAAGCATACAAATGTTACATCTATTCTGTATGTATAGAATACAATGATATTATGTAAAGATTAAACACATACCAATACTTAGAGCATACAAAATGTTACATCTATTCTGTATGTATCGTATACAATGATATTATGTAAAGATTAAACACATACCAATACTTTAGAGCATACAAAATGATACATTTATTCTGTATGTATAGTATACAATGATATTATGTAAAGATTAAACACATACCAATTCTTTTAAGCATACCCAATGTTACATCTATTCTGTATGTATAGTATACAATGATATTATGTATAGATTAAACACATACCAATTCTTTTAAGCATACACAATGTTACATCTATTCTGTATGTATAGTATACAATGATATTATGTAAAGATTAAACACATACCAATTCTTTAGAGCATACGCAATGTTTACTTGAATACATATTTAACTTATAAAAACTTATTAAAAGGCTTTCAGAAATTATTATGTTTAGCCAATGATACTGAACATTATTACAAACAGGATTTATTTTGTGTGTGTATATCTTAATAAGAACAAAAATTATTTGGATTTATCAAAGTTTGTCCAATTTCAATGTAAATATAATTTGAATTCACGTTTCACTCGCTTAGTGAAAAATTCAGGAAGAATTGCTCTGCAGTAAAAGAAGTGAAGCCTTGGTAGCTTGTATGATAAAAAAATTCTGCATCATATTGTATTAATGCTCCATATATACTCCACAAACAATGGTTCACTACCACCAAACCAAACAACAAAATCAATACGTTTCAAATCAGCACAAAACATTTGGCCTTGAACTTGATAATAGTATTGATGTTTGCATTTGAGCTTGATAGTGCCACCATTATTCTCCAAGAAGAACTTCTTGTCTTTAAGTGCATCCTGAAGAGAGGTTTTGAACTTGGAGAATGGACATTTTATTTCCAAACCCCATCTTTCATTCTTACAAGAAACCATGCCATCCAAAGATGCACCAAGAAAAGGAGAAGAAGAAGATAATTGCAGGCCAGTTTCAGAAACAATGACATTCAGGCCATGCTCTTTCATGTAAATTGTGTAGAGCTCAATGGCATGTCCTTCAAATTTCTTGCCATGGCTGGTTGCTAAGGTTGAGAAAGACTTGTAAAACATGGATTTTATTTTTGAAGATGGCTCAACGGTGTTTACGGCAGCAGTGTAGAAGTTTGAGGCTGTTAGTCGATAAAGGCGATAATCTATCCAATTGCTGTTGGAGGATTGACCACGGGTCACCTTCTCAATGTCAGAAATTTCTTCAGCAGACAAAGATAGGTTATGACAATAAATGTCCATCATATCTTTAAAAGATTGTTTGGAGATATCGAAGCACTCATTGAAAGAGACTTCTTCGGCTAAAGATGGATCTTGAGTATCAGTTGCACTGGTGAAAGCACTGTCACTTGAAGGAGGAAGATCAGATGTTGAAGCTGGATAAAAACCAAAGAATCCACTGTTTGGCATGAATTTTGTTAATTTCGATTTTAAAATTTCAAGATCATTAATGTTCACGGTTCTATGGCTGGTAATGCGAGGGTCAAATGTTTTTGATTTTGGAACATCATAACCATCATAATTCCTTCCAAACTTAATCTTCTTTATCACGACTTCATCAATTGGAGCTGGATTAAAGGACCGAAGGGAAGAGGCATTTGGCACATTCCATGAGGATAATTTTGATGTGCAGGAAACTGCTGATTCAAATCCTTGAAGACCACGCCGGTTAAAATCTTCCAGGGCAAAGAGAACTCCACCAACATGGTTGCAGTTTCCAAAGCCACCAAGACCAATGCCAGCAGGACAAGAACAGGCAGCAGAGCAAACATCACCAGAAATATTTGAATGCTTCAAAATTACTTTATAGAGAACCTTTTTCATAGATGCCTTGACACGAACATTGAAGAAAGTAAACTCCTTGTTCTTAGCTACATCGATCTTTTTTATAAAGCCTTCAAAGAAAAACTGAAATGCTTTCAGTTTCTTGTAGGCAGTACTCTTAAGAAGGATGTGCTTGAATTTTGATGTTCGAATAACCAAATATTCATAGAGCTGCAGAAAAGTAAAAGGAGGTGTTCCACGTAAGTCAGCTGTCCAAGGAAGATGCTTGCACTGATCATAAATAGCCTCAAATGTGAAATCATTTTCGTGACAAAGTAAGGAGGACTCATCTGAAATGTCATTGGATTGAGAATTGAAATTCTTTGCACGACAAAAGACCGCATATGCACGAAGAATAAGGTCGGCTTTGACACCGGAAGTTTTCTCCCTGTATGCTACAAGAATATGCTTCAATTCTTTAATAGTCAATGCGCCAAGATCTTCTAAACAATCAACTTTCTTTTCCTTCGGCAGCAACAATTTGAATGCATCCATTTCAATGAAAAATCGGGCGTAAAAAATTCTTAAACGTAGAAATATATAATCGACTCTGTAGATGTCCAAAGAGGCCCGAACGTTCGCACAGCCGACTACATCAGTTGCCTCGACTCCAAGCGCTCGTCTCTCTTTCAAACACCGCGTGACGTAATTGTGAAAGGGGTCTATTTTTGCCTGAATTGTTTTAACTTTCACTTTGTCAATTGATTTTACCAAGTTTCTAATTCTCAAATGCTAACTGACACTATTATTGCCTCTTATCATTGCTTCTTGGTCATTGTTACTTAGTATAATTATATACAAAACTTTTTATAACATATTCTGCTGCATTAAATGAATTCGAATGTTAATTGAAAATAGGTTTGCTTGAGATTTGCATCAACCATCTCTGTGTATTTTTATTGACAGATAGATAGAGGCTCACTCTGGGTTAGGCTTTGATAAGAAAGTTGGTAACGGAAGGAAACTGCATTATGTAGTGCAGAGTAGAAGATGGCCACTCGATAAAAACTAATTCATTGAGGTTAATATAGGAAGGTGGGCACTCAGTTGGGAAAATGGTGCTCTGAAAGTTGCAAAGTATGTATATTTGGAGAGCAAGATTTTTTCTATGTTGAACTTGTATTAATTTGGCCTTTTTTAGGAAACGCTACAAGATAGGTAAGCTGAAACAGATCAGAAACGATGATTGACCTGTCTGGAATCATTTTATTTTTGGCAACATTACCAAGGTTATGTTACCAAGGATGAGCCAGTGTCATTACCAAGTGTCATTATAATTAGACGAACGTCAGAATAGAAAACATATGTAGTGTAAAATGTGAGTTATCATTTTAAATGAGATACAAGATACAATTCCAAATGACAATATTTTTACCAAAATTAATATATATGTGCATGTGAAAAAAGCATACAATTCTAAATGACATTATTGCTACAAAATTTAATATATATACATGTGGACGAAAAACGAGGTTATTTATATAGGAATGTTACTTGATATTACTAAGATACAAACCAATCTGAAAATTTACAGCATACGCGAAGACTGGGTGTATATAAAACAAGGGTTTGTTAATGCATATATGGCTGAGGTATAGTTATTCGAATGGGCTTTTTCTATATCCTTGTAAATTGAAAATGAGGCAACGAACTTGCCAATTATGGAAGGACAAGGGGCGTTTAAATGTGTTGTTTACAGGAGAATCTAATCATTGAGGAGTATTTCTTTTGACTAGGAAAGTCAGACAGCCAAACGAATCACGAAGGGAGATATCGGATCTTTGTGTAAACAATGGGGAGGATTATCGTGTTCAAGTGTCATCTAACAGTCGTGTTGATCTGTAGTGTCTTGAAGAGACTGAGCAACAACTGAAGCTAAAACATTATTATGACAACAAGTTTTAAATTAAAGAGCAATGCATAAAAAGATGTAGCATAGTTACATTATGGTTATTACAGCGGGAGCAAATAGGATTGTCAATAATTTTGTGTCTAGCTAAACGATCAGCAGTGAGAATAGCGAGTTGGATTATTTACATTGCAGGTTGCAAGATTTTCGGTCGGAATCTCTTCTAAATATCGAATTGAATATAGATTTCCAGTCAAGATTTTCCTTTCCCAATAGACACGAAACTTTTTGGAAGAAACATCAGTAGGGACCATAAGAGATGCAATATAAAAGTCTTTAGAATACAATTTAGAAAGCTGATTTTTATGACTTCAATAGGAGGAGTGAAATTAATAGAAAAACGATTCTTAGGTTCAGAATTGGAACGGAAGAAATTTATCTATTCTAAAGGAAGGCATGATAAATGAGAGAATATTCTTTAGATTTAAACTTCTTACCAATTAGTTCATAGGTCATAGGTGATATCTCTTAATAGTGGTGTTCCTGCAAGGACCCAGGATAAGTTAAGGGGTAGATTAACTTTGCCAATTTTTGGATTCAGAAAGAGGGGTTCGTTAAAGATTTAAAGTATGTTATCAATAGATCTGTTATGATCGTTAGTAATGGCCAGATACCTACGGAGGGTATCTTTTTAGAAAAAGAAGGTAGTTTGTTTATTTAGCATTTGAGGATATTTTTTCCGATTTGTAGGTTTTTGTATTTTCCTAAGAAATGGTCAAGGAGAACTTTCCATTTGCCTGTTTGTTCGTGGGCAACGAGTTTGGATAGCCATGATAAAAGGAGGCTGTTATATTTTTCCTCTATATCAAAAACATCAAGGCCGCCTTCTTGATTAGGAAGTTAAGCTTGTGATCTAGGGATTGGGGGTCGTTTGCCATTAAAAAGGAAATGTCAAAGATTTTCATTAAGTTTAACTGCCCTTTTGGGTATTGGGAAAACCAAAGCTGTATACCAAATTGCAGAGCTTGCAATCTGGTTAACGACAAGGCCTTCCCTCTAAAGGTCAAGTCACACCATTTTGAAAGAGGTAGTGTTTTTATAAATTTAAACACTTTTGGTTCCCTGTTTAGTTTATTGATATCTTCATTACCGAAAAAAGGCCAAGGATTTTGTGGGATTTCTTTTTCCAATTAGAACCTAGAGGCGAATCAAGACGGCTTTTAAAGCTACCAAGCCAGAGGCCTTTACTTTTATCTTTGTTTATTTTAGCTCCAGAGGCTTTTTCGTAGTTCGTTATGTGATTTTCAATTGCTAGTAAGGATTGGTTACCTTGAAAAAGACGGGTAGTATCATCTGTATATTTTTTTTAAATTCAGTTTTACCAACAGTAACGCCCTTAATTGCGGGGTCACAGCAGACATTAGCGGCAAACACGTCAGCAATGAGAACGTGAAGAAGGGCAGAGTAGGGGTAACCTTGCCTGACACCTCTGCTAGGAGTGAAAGGGTCGGAAATAAAATCATTACATTTACCTTTGCTTTCAATGTTAGTGTATAGAAGTTTTACCCAGCTTATAAAAATAGGACCGAAATTGAATTTTTCAAGTGTTTTAAGGAGAAAGTTCCAATTTACACAATCAAAGGATTTCATTTGATCAATAGATAGTAGAGCAACCGAGAGATTTTCTTCTTGAGAGAATTGAATAATGTCTGGTAAAGCATGGCAATACAGCAATTCTACTTACGGCCGCTTGTGAGTTTTCATTATGATATTGCTCACGATATTAGAGAGTTTCCGATCGCCGACGCAGCTACGACGGGGACGTTTGCGAGGCCTGGAAATAGCGCGGTCAGAAAAAATTGCATACCCCCCGTGATTACTTCTCGTCCGGCCTACGACGCAAAATTCGAAAATTTCCGTCGGAGGAAGAACGCAGAATTTTTAAAGTAAGAGTTAAATGTTTTCGATGTAATAGTTTAAAATCGATATAATTTTGATTCATCGAGACATTAATCTATCTCTTCGAAGTAAAAACAGCTCATTTCAGCAAGCTTTCTTTTGCATTTCAGCCTTATCAAATCGACCTATTTCAGAGGGAAAATGGCAACAGAACCACTATCCAAAGAAATGGAAAGCCGACCCGTGTTCGTAGTCATATCGCATTGAATGTAGTTGTAATTTACTAACTGAACACTTTCTTGTATTTCTTATAAATTATGGCTTTCTTATAACTATTTTTTTTAAGAAACATAGTTAAACTTTGTCTAAGAGTTATTTAATCAAAAGTGTGCCAGCTTCATAACGCATTTGAAGCTAAAATTTTCAGATATTTATTATTAAAGGGTTTTTACCATCTATTACCAGCTATTATTAAAGCTAGTTTTTTCCCTTCACAAAAACACTATACACTTATCTATTATTCAACAAACTTGATATAGAAAACTTGCTTGGGACATTTCAGAAAAGAGAGCTTGAAGAAAGCTGAGTGAGAGTAGGACAAGTAACAAAAGATATTACAAACATCTACCTGTTCTTCAAAGCCAACTTATATTCAGTTATATGTTAATCAAGTCCCCTTCAGGTTTCAGTTATAAGTTTAAATATTTCAATTATGAATTAATGACATGAAATTAAGAAAGTTGACAAAAGCAAGTGCTGAAAAATGCAGCAACACTAAGACACTTTGCTACTAAATGTTGACCTTTGTTTCTTATAAAAATGAGTATTCGTCCAAATTGCAATCAAACTGCTAAGACTTTTTGCCAAATTCTTATTATGCATGTCAAAATGCAGCTTTCTACATTTTCTGTTTTTAAATAAACAGTTGTGTTCTTGTAAAAATGTTGAAGGTATCCTGTAAGATATACACCTGTCTGAAGAGCATGGCAGATTTATGCACCAGGTCAATGTAGTGCTGTATGCTGATATTAGGAACTACCATGCCATGAGGTTTACACACAGAAAACCAACCTGAAATGACTTTGAGCATGTGAGATTTTATTGAGAACTGCCACACTCTGCAGACTGGGATATACATAATTATATCTAGAACATCTGTAATCATTTATGTTTCATACATAATTTTTGAGTGAAAAGGTTTTTTTTGCCTTCAACCCTTCTTAAACCTTTTCAAATAGGCACAAAATGACATGGACCAAGCAGCATGATGTGCTACTTTGTAGAGAAGTGCTGGTTGTCCAGCCATTTCAATTTAGGCATGGCACCCATGACCGAGGGCAATGCTGGGAGCGAATTGCCAATAATTTGAATTTGGTGGAGCATCCTCACTTCATAGTTGACCAAAGGTCAGTGAGAGATCGCTTCACCAAACTTGAAAAAGATTTTAAAAGGAAAAAGGCCAGCGAGGAAAGAGCCAGTGGTATCAGTCCAGAAGAGCCTGATGAGCTGGATCAGGCTCTTGAGGATATTACAGAGACTGCAAGGGAGCAGCAAGAACAGTTGTTGAGGGGAGAGGTAAAGAAGAAAAATGACATTGAGAAAGAAAAAGAAACAGCAGAGGCAGTGAGGAAGAGGGCAATGGAGAGAATGGGGGAGACAAGGGAGAGGGAGAATGTAGAAAGAGAGAGGAAGAAGAAAAGGCATGGGGGGATACAGTGGAGTATTTATAGGAAAAGAGAGCACAGGAAGTCAAAAAGAGTGAGAAAGAATTTGAGTTGAAGAAGCGAGATCTGGAGTTAAAGGAAAAGATGCAGGAAGAAGAGATAAAGATGAGAAGGAAAGAGCAAGAAATAAAAGAGAGGGAACAACTTATGAGGGACAGGGAATTGGAGGCAAGGCTCAAGAAAGATGATGAAGTTATAAATATTTTAAGACAACAGCTGCAGCAGCAACAACAGGCTATTTTGGAAGAGGTACAGCAGCAAAACAAATTGCTACTGTCTCTTTACCAAAGTAGCCTGGAAAAGAAGGAATGACCAGGTTAAGACTCATAGTAAAAATAATGGAACCTCCAAGTGAAAATGCTGGTATTATTAGTACCAACAGATCCTCTGTTTATAAAACTCATAAATGCCAGATAAAATTCATATCCAAACATTCCTTCTTTTCAAGTAAGAACTTAATGACTATATTATAAAGTAAGAACAAATTTTAGAAAAAAATTTTTGGCAATTTTTGTTATAAAACCTGACCTAATACAGAGCTTGAAGGACCATGCCTACCGCTCCCCCTCCCCCCCCCCCACTGCTTTGATGCACTAGTTATAAAGACTTCTTCATGAGACATATTTCCCCATTATGCAAGTTTAGCTTGCCCCTTTTTTGGAATGCTACTACAGGCCCTCTAGCTCCTGTATAGTTTTTTGGTTCTGAGTTCAAAATTTCATAAAATTTATTGAGGCCTTTTCTTGAGGCTCTTCTAGAACTACTATATAATTAGCACTATACATCTAATAGACAAACAACTCACTTTAATACACAATTTTGTCTAGTCTCAAAAGTATGTATATTTTCCTTCCACCCATTTGTTTAGTCATTTTCTTATAAAAATATAAGCATATCCTGCATGCTGTTGTTTCAATTTGAATTTAGAACTTTGAAAGATATGTTTCTATATAACCATAGCTTTATAGTTGTTCTTGATGTAATGTGATGCTTTATTTTTCAACATTAACTTTTTTAGATTAGAAATTGTCAATTGCAGTTAAGGATTTCTCTTGTTAATTGTTCTTAAACTTCAAGGCTGGACTGTCCTTAATATGTTCCTAAATAATTAGGTTGCAAGTAGAGAAATTTTTAGACAGGAACATTTTACTGAAGTACTAATGGCCTTTTATTTTCATTTAGATAACAATTTTCTTAAAAAATAATCTTAATATCAATTTTCTTAATAGCAATGTTCTGACAGGTTATGCATTGAAAAGCCTATTTCAACAAGCTTTATATTCAAAATCACCTTGTAAAATATCCCAGCCTTAGATTGTTCTCAAATTTTTACTATTTTTGTGTCAGTTTTCAGGCTCATGTCCTGATAAAATAGTTCTACAAGACGAGATTGTGATTTGGAATTAATGAAATGTTGCTCTTTACAACTCAGTGTGTTCGAAGTGATATACTGTTTGTTTTGGAAAAGTCACATTTACTTAAGTTCTATCAATGGTTAACTCAATAGGTTAATTTTTTGTTTATCAATATTAATTATCCCATACACTGAGATTTCTATCATGTGTGATAAGATAAATCTAAACTTGGTAGCTTTGGTAGCTTTTAAAAAAACTGTTTGGTAGCTTTTAAAAAAGCTGTTTGGTAGCTTTTAAAAAAGCTGTTTGGTAGCTTTTAAAAAAGCTGTTTTTATCTGAAGTATTCTTCAAGAAGTGGTGGCTGCAGATTGAAAAAAGCAGATGTGTTGTTCCCATACAGGCAAGTAAGTGCATTGCGTAGTAGGGCACAAACAACATAAGTCTTTCCAACTGCACTGAGGCCAATCTTCAGATCTTTCTTGAAGTCTGTGAATTTAAAATAATTCACAATATCACCAAACACCCATTCAACAGAAATACGAACCCTCCTCATGGATTGATTGAAGGCTTGCTCTTGAACAGTGAGGTTTGGTCTTCTTGCGAAGGGGCATTGGAGAAAAACTCTTTGAGGATATGCAGGATCTCCATAGATGCACAAAGGCTGGCCATCAGGTGTAAAGGAATGTTGCTCCAACTGATTTAAAAGACCTGACATTGCCAGGATGCCACTGTCATGCCTTCTTCCTTCAACTGGACCAAAGAGGTTTGCAATAAGTCCATTAGGTACCACTACCGATTGGAACTTGATTGCGTGCACTCTTTTATGGCCGTTATAGACAGCCCTTTGATCCTGGTTTGGTCTGCAAATGGGCCTGACTGTTCCATCCACGAAACCCCAACAGTTGTCTAATGCAGCACCTTTCTGATGAATGGCATCTGCATATACCTTCAGATTGTGGCGTGACAATAATGGCTGATCAAGGTTGGCAAGGAGGTATCCAAATCTGTCGAAGATATGGTCAATCACGAGATTTACGACCATACAGAGTTGTGATACAGGCCTACCAAAACGAGGGATGAGATCAGCAAGTCTGCATGGGTAAGCAAATCTCTTTAGGGCGATGCACAAGGCTTCGATTTCGTCTACCACCACACCATTCTGACGCTTGAATATTTCCGGGAGGCGCAAAGCAGCTGCAAGTCTAAAAATGTCATCCTTTTTGAAGCGAAATTCCACTTCACATTCGTCTTCTCGCATATCAAAATCATTAAAACGTTCGTACTTAAAATACGGAAGGCCAACGTGCAAGTTTTTCGGGTGGTCATCTAATAGAAGAAGCAGCTCTTCGTCGTCGATATCGCCCTCATCGTGCAATAAATACAGCATGTCGTCCATTTTAGCTGGTTTAATTTTGGCGCCAATGCACGTCCCCGTCGTAAAATCGGAATCTGATTTTTTTACATGTGCAGGAGGACGGAACGGCCGCGCTATTTCCAGGCCTCGGAAACGCCCCCGTCCTAGCTGCGTCGGCGATCGGAAACTCTCTATTGATTTTATGACGACATAAAGATAAAAACTTTATAATGGATTTGACAGTGATTGGTGACTAGGGGGTAAAGTTTCCCCTGGAACGATTTTTGCTGTCAAGTTGTCATCCCTTACAAATTTTCAAACTTCATTTCTCGGTAAAATCTAAAATACAAGCTCAAACAATATGAAAAATGGTATCCCGCCTAAAATTATGACGATAAAACCAAATCTAAGCTTAAAAAAGTTGTATAATTAAGTTTGAAGAAATTTCCAAAACGAGGTCGTAAGTCGAATCAGTGTATTGCCTAAAATTGAGCGGCCGGGAATAGAGCAAGTTTGGTCTTGCTCTCTGCTATAATACTAGTTAGGACTTTCAAAAGACGATTTGTCACGACTTTGGCTATAATTTTATTATCACAATTTAAGAGGCTGAGGGGGCGCCAGTTTTTAATGTTTTCTCTGTCGCCTTTTTTGAAGAGGCAAGAAATTAAAGCAATTCTTTGAGAAGGGGTAAGGGATTTATTATCAAAGCAAGAGTTAATTACTTTTAAGAAGTGTTTACAGAGAGATTTCCAAAATAGTTTGTAAAATTCGCACGGTAGTCCGTCTATTTCGGGAGATTTACCATTTACCATAGTTTTAAAGGCAGTGTTTATTTCTTCGATAGTAAGGGGGTGTTCGCAAATGTTTTTCTCAGTTTCTGAAAGACGTTTACTTATTTTTTGTAAAATAGTGTCCTGAAGGGTTGAGTCGACTGGGTCTTCTTTATAGAGAGAAGCATAAAATTATTTGACTACATTGACTATTTCAGTCGGGTCAGAGATGGAATTATCATGTTTATCTTTAAGCCTGGTTTCCATTAAATTTTAGAACGATCGGGGACAGTCTGCATCAGTCTGCGACCTCATCTTCCATTTTTCAACTTCGACATGTCTCCATAGATCGGCAACTGTCTGCGATTGTCTGCGACCATGATCCTTTTCAAGCTCAAAAAGGCGCGCAAACTGCAAAACAATTTTGGAGGGAAAGCAAAATGGCTGCCGTAAACAAACGTTTACTGCTTAAAGCTGGCGCCTTTCTGTTGATGGCTTACATGAGACTACGTAAAAGAAGAAGCAAGACCAAGAGAAAGCATAAATTCTGGGTTCGAGAGATTTTTCTAAGCAGAAGACAACACGGTCAATTTTATACTCTTTACCTAGAACTGAAGTTGGCTGACAGAGAGTACTTCTTCAGGTAGCCTAAAGCTTCTACTGTTAAGACATCACGCACAATTTTTCTTAATACCACCTTAAATTTCTCTATTTAGTGTTTCTAATTTTCAAAATTGGTTTTTAAAAGCTATCAATGGCTTTTGGACTTAATTCTAATCTGATCTATTAAATGGCTACATTGCCATCATAGAACAAAAAGGTAAGTTGAGATTTTTGAAATGCTTAAATAATAAGATTTAGTCCAGCAACCCCTCCCGTCAGGGAAATATCTGACTCTTATATATCCATAACGGGGGAGCTTAGGTTACTTTTTTGGGTCTGAAATTTGTGCAAAAATTACTTTTTGGGTTATCATTTGTGCACTAATTTTTTGTGCTCGTGTAATTCTGAATTCTTGGGTCTCAGATATCAAAGAATGGAGAAATTAAATGATTCACAAACGAAAATAAAGTTACTTAACATAATGAAATCAAAATCCTTAGATATCCAAATAATTATTACATCATTCTGTGAGTTTAGTGCCCTATGGTTTTTTGGATGCTGACTGTGTATAGCTCGGCTACTGTAAAATGCAGGTCCTGCAAGTCCGGTAAAATGCAGGTCCCATTGGAAATCGATGGCATGCTACAGCGACCAATGGGCTCAGTAAGGCTTCAGCCCGCTTTGTTTATTTGAAGTATGGAGTAACCGGGGGGACGAAGTTTTAATTCGTTGAAAGAAGAGAGAAAAACACTGCAACAAATTCTGAAGTTAAATACCGATTAGCTGTGTTAAAAGTAAACGCCGATGTTAAAAGTAAATAAATGGAGTTGAAAATAAACAAGAAAATTAAGATATGTCAGAAATATAGTCAAATCAGAATTTATTGATTCTTGAACAGAACCATATTAGTGAGTTGATGTCGATGGCTGCCTTTTCCACCTTGGATAGCTTCCTTGCAACATTGTTTGCCATATGTAAACAGACGGAAAAACTTATTTATGCTGCCATACGCAACTCGACGCAACACAGCTAATCGGTATTTAACTTCAGATTTTGTTGCAGTGTTTTTGTCTCTTCTTTCAACAAATTGAAAATTCTAGCATAGCATGAATGTACTGGAGCAAAAGCGCATCATTTTCATGCCCTTTATTCATTGATTATTTTTTGCTAAAATAAGAAACATTATCGTATCAGATTACATAACATAATCACCATCGACTTCAAAAATGTCCAAAGATTTTCTTAGGGGCAGTGTATAGTGTGGCCACTACTACTGGAACCTCCCAGAATTTAATAACCTCAGAAAAATGAGAAAAAGATATTACTGCCCACCTTTTTATATCTTTAAAGTTTATGAATTCATTCCTCGCTGGTTTTTGACAACAACGGGCCTAGCAGAATGATCGGCACTGCGGTACCTCCCGGTTCCTCCATACTTCAAATAAACAAAGCAGGCCGAAGCCTTGCTGAGCCCATTGGTCGCTGTAGCATGCCATCAATTTCCAATGGGACCTGCATTTTACCGGACCTGCAGGACCTCAGGACCTGCATTTTACAGTAGCCGTGTATAGCTTCAGAAAAATTAATTATGCTAGAAATGATTTTTTCGGTTTATGGCATGTACCCCCAGCCTGAGCACTCCTATGAGTAGTTCCCTAA